GGCCTGCTGAACAAGCCTTGACCTTAGGGTTTCTCTAGCTCTACCTGCTCGTTTCCACTTTGGGGAGAAACGTATTGACCGACGTCGATGGTTTTCCAGTCTGCCACCAAGTCAGCCCAGCCCAGGAACCTACTGCTGTGTGCTGGACTTGCAGTGAGAAGGCAAAGTATCAGCTCCCTTTGAAAAAGTAAAAATCAGACTGGCCATTCGTTACACTGGGGTATGTTAAAAGATAAATTGAGCCATATTAAAAATTATTTAAGTGCTTATTTGAGCGAAAGTTGGTTTGAATCAGGCAGCACCTAATCTAGCAGATAAAAAGGAGCTGTACAAAATAAAAGTTTTTTATATAAGCAGAAGGGAGGGAAACAAAGAAGTTATACTGGCACAAAGCGGGTTGGTTATTGCCTCTACTTTCCTTTAGACTTCAGAGGACCGCGGGGGACTATCAGGCAGATTACCTAAGTAGTGCTGATTAAGCGATTCCTGATTGGTTTAGGAGTCCGATCTGGTAGAGCTAAAACTAATTCTTTGGCTAATCTCTTCCCACTGCCACCTCCCACCCCCACCCGGGCATGTCCCCCTTCCCTCTGAATTCTGTCAGTCTGTTCCATGCTTCCATGTCTCCCGATCTATTTTGTTCATTAGATTCCACACATACGTGAGATCATGTGCTACCTGTCTTCCTCTGACTGGCTTATTTAGCTTAGCATAATACTCCCCAGGTCCCTCCATGCTGCCTCAGAGGGTAAGGGATCCGGTGTTTTTTTTACAGCTGCATGGTATTCCATTGTATAAATGTACCACACCTTTTTGTTTTTCTTTTTTTTAATGTATCTTTATTGATTTCAGAGAGAGGAAAGGGAGAGAGAGAGAAAGAGAGAGAGAGAAACATCAGTGATGAGAGTCATTGATCCGCTGCCTCCTGCACGCCCCCTACTGGGGATGGAGCCCCAAACCCAGGCATGTGCCCTCACTGGGAATCGAACCACGATCTCCTGGATCATAGTTGGATGCTCAACAGCTGAGCCACACCAGCTGGGCCCCACCTTTTTTTATCCACTCATCTACTGATGGGTATTTGGGCTGTTTGACCACTGCTTTCTTACTTAGACTCTTGTTTTCTAAAATCATAGACTGTCAGAAAACTTGCTGTTTAAAATCATATCAATAAAAATGAAACATCCTACTCTTGTCTGGATAATTAAGTGAGTTTGACACAAAGAAGCAGCCTTTATTTCCAGCGCAGGTACAGAGCTTCAGATGAGGGATTTCTGGACACAGTTCACATCTATCTTTATCAATTCCAAGAAAAGGGGCCCCTGGGCCCACTTTGCAGTTCAACCTGATGATCACCCCTTTACACACAGCCCTTTTTTGCTTTGAGCCTACCAAAACACTGTTTCTTTTAAATTTGATTTAAACTCTGCCCTCCCTCAAATCCTATAACAACTGTATATATCTCCTTTTAACTGATGAGACACTTCTGGGTTCCTCTGGTATGCAGTCTCCCTCAATACAAGGAGCCAGTTATTCTAACTTTGTCTTGCTACAGGTTTGTACCTGGTGACTGTGGTCTGATTAGGCTCAGACAGCAGCCAAGAGTGATTGTTCTGAAGGAGGAATTCCTGCCCAGGAGTAGTTACCAGTCCAGCAAAGTAGGCAATATTCTATGCTCTCTGTTGGGTGGAGGAAGGTATGCCCTCCATGAGGAATAGGACCACATACTCTACTTCTTTGGCTCCTCCGTTTTACCTAGAATAGAACTGGATGAAGAATGGGTATTCAGTAATTTCTTCAAAATAATTATTTAAGGTTTATAAGGAATCCATTTACACCACCCCATTTCAAAACACAGCTCATCAGTTCAAAGCCCTCTTTAATCCTTTGGCTTTGCGAGGAGTACATACCTGTCTCAGAGGAAGGTGTGTTGATCGTTGCTCTTCTCTGTCCTCTGTCTCATGCCAGTGCCTTGCCAGCTCCTGCTTTTTCTCTCTTTACACATAAATAGTATATACTTCCTACTAATGAGCAACCTAACATAGTCAGTCTACCCAAACATAAAATAAATGTCCACTGTTTCTGAGTAACTCATTAAAACCATCTTGAGGGAAGAGCCTGCGTCAAGTAAGGGAGGCCAGTGCCCTCTGTCATCTGAAGGTGACCCCTCTTGCAAGCCTACCTACTGTCTCATCTTAGTGTCTGTTCCATGGCATTATCCCCAGAGCCTGGCCCAGTGGGTAGCACACACTAAGTTCTCACTAGCTGCCGGTTAGATGAATAAATGAGTGATTGAATGACTTAAAACTCGACACAGCAGGAATGGAATGAAATGCCCAAGAACTCCAACAGAGTCACCTCTGAGGAGATTTTGACAGAGCTGCTTCTCCTACCCACAGGCATGGAGTGGTAGTTAAACCTTTCCCAGAGGTTTTAAGCACACCAAAGAGAGCGTATGGTGGGCCACTGCCAGGTTTAAGGTGACTATAAGTTTTCTGACACATATTGGTTTTCTTTTCAATTTATAAAATATCCCTCCAGAACATTATGCATACTATTCAATGATATTGGCATTTTTAGTTGTTTAATGGTGAGAAATATATATTAATGTTGATTTTTATGAATCTAAATCACTCCAGAAAACATGGATGTTTTTCAACCTGATTAGAGGAATTGTTTGAAGACAAGACTTTGAATATGAAAGATTATGAGCCTAAAACCAATGTCCTCAAGACATTGAATATGAAAGATTATGAGCCCAAAACCAATTGCATTTGGTTTCAAAGCTATAAATAAGATTTTCTTATCTTTTTCTTTCTAAGCTAATTTAGGCTGCAAACATACGCTTAATTCTGGCCACTACCACAACAACACTAATCATTAGGGGAATGCAAGTCAAAACCATAGTTACATACCACCGCACCCTTTAGGATGGCTAATATAAAATAATAAATAAATAGGGACTTCTATTCAAAGATGGTGGGATAGGAAGACCCTGAGTTCACCTCTTCCCAAGACACATGGAATTTATACCTACAGACAGAGAAATTCTCCCTGAAGAGGAACTGAGAGCTGACCAAACAGCTTCTGCATAATGAGAGAGAGAGACCGCACAGGAACCAATCTCCCTGCAGTCTGCTCCAGCTTTAGTTTGTAGCCTTGTGACTTGTGCCCAGGACTCCCTCAGCTTGCACCCACCCTAGCTACAGCTCCTGCCCAGGCATGGCTTCTTCCCGGAATTCCTACAGACCATACCCACTTCTACTCCAGCCCCATTAGTTTACCTCTGGGAATATCTACAGCTGGCACCTGCTCCAGCTTCAGTTCCAGGTTCCAGTTTGGCTTGCCCCCAGGACTACCTAAGGCCTGTGCCCATTCCAGCTACAACTCCAACAGGTCTGTTAAGGCAGTCCCAAAGCAACTTGCCCTCAGACTTCCTTTGACCCATCCTTACTTCAGCTCCAGCTCCAGGCTGGTCCCCGCCCCCCC